AATGTTGACATTGCGCTTTCCAATCTATACCACAACCTGATATATTGCCTTGACTGCACTGCTCCAGTTATTGGCCGTGTGGCTTATAATGCTAATAGGGCGCCACTACGAGCAGAATGACGTGTATGCACTTCAGAGTATACTTAAATTAATCAACAGAAATGCTTCATCTAAACGTAAGTATTTTATGAATATAGAAAATAAAGCTCTACGTAGTAAAAGCCCAGAATTATCAATACTTCGGCTTTTTAAATCCCGTGTAAAGTCAAATTCCCTTGGCACGACTAAATTCTTCATAGTTAACGGAAGCATTGTTAACGACCCGAATACTATATGCGAACAATTCAGCAAGCACTTCTCGCAGTGCTACAAAACTGGAACTGAAAACTCCATCATTACATTTCCAATGCTGACATCCAGACATCTGTCGAAAATTGATTTTACACCCTCCAACATCAAGCAGGCCATAGCTGCCCTGAAAAAGTCTTATGATGGTGGACCTGACGGGATACCTTCATCATTTGTGAAATATGGAAGTAGAGAATTTCCACTATTTTGTTTGAAACTTTTCAATCTATCTATGGAATATGGGACCTATCCATCTGTATGGAAAACATCCCTTATCACCCCTAGATTCAAAACAGGACCACGTAGTGATATTATTAACTATAGGCCAATTAATTTGACATCCGTGCTCTCAAGAACCATGGAAAAAATCATCCACAAACAGCTACTATCATTTTTACTTTCGGCTAGTCTGATCAGCCCATCCCAACACGGGTTTATGACTAAACGCTCATGTTTCACATCGCACCTGGAGTTTTTTGATCAAATTACCCAGAAAGAGATGTTGGTCAGTCAGTGATAATTCTTTACTTCGATTTTAGTAAGGCTTTCGACAGTGTCTCACACAAACTTCTTCTTTTAAAACTCTCTTCATTTGGCATACAGAATCCCCTTTTATCTTGGCTCAAATCTTTTTTAGAAGAACGTAGCCAAATCGTTCGCTTTGGATCTTGCTACTCTAAACCTGTGAATGTAACCAGTGGGGTTATACAAGGAAGTGTGGTTGGTCCATTACTCTTTCTCCTTTTTATCAATGATGTGTGTTCCCTCTTTCAGTATGGTAAGCCTTTCTTTTTGCTGATGACCTGAAAGTAGTTTATTCATTCTCTTCTCCCACGAAAGAAAGCTATATTTCAGCGGTAATCCAAGAGGAAATAAACAAGTTGTACGAATGGACTATTTCGTGGAATATGCCACTTAATGTTGACAAAAGTGGATTTATTCACATTGGTCGCTGTCTTAACTTAAATCTGACTGTACAGACACATACACTCAAACCTCTCAACACTGTTCGTGACCTGGGTTTAAGATATAGCAACAGTCTGAACTTTTCTGAACACATTATATCTCAAGTATCCAAAGCTAGAAAGCTCATCGGATTGATAATGATAAACTTCAATAATATCGAATCGAGATTGTTACTATACAGAAAATGTATCTTACCCATTCTTGAATATGGTATTTTAGTTTACAGTAATTGTAGACATACTGACCTGATTAGAATTGAAGGTGTTCAAAGAAGTTCACCAAAGCTGTTCTGGGTATTCCGATAACAAAGACTATTACCAAAGATGTCAACAACTCAACTTAGAACCTCTTTGGATCAGACGTATCAAATTAAATCTTGTCTTTATCTACCGGCTTATTAACGGTATTTCCTACTCTTCGGTATCCACCCCTTCATACCTTATGATATCATCCCACAATCTACGCAATAAGGAGAATATTCTAGCGATTCCAAGAACCCACACAAACTTACGTCAGAATTTTTTCCTTATTCGCTACTCAACCATGTGGAACAGACTGCCAGTGAACCTCCGTTGCAGTGAAACTACAACCCGGTTCAAAAGTCTCCTTGACGATTTTCTTTCCGAAAGTGGATTATGTCACCTATTGAATATCAATGTATTCAATAATGATTTATACAAACAAGGTCCGTCATCCATTTAATTGCTTGAAAAGCAAAATAAAACCTTTAAATCTTTCACGTCTATTTTATTTTATTTCTATTTATCTTAATATATGAAGTCTGCTTATGTTCGTATCTATAATTATTACTGTTATTAATATCATTATTGTTCCCCGACACATTAGATATTCTTTTTATATCTTCTTATCCTTCTAAACATATTTAACTCCAGATTGTCCTTTGAAATCAATTTTGACTTTCATAGCATCATTCTTAATTATTATTGCACAAATATTTATACTAATATCCGGTTTCACTCTGTATACTATTACATAAATCTAAATGTATTCATCCGAGTGCATTAAAGGATTTTTATTTTATTTTTCTAAATTGTTGGTTTCCTTCTGAGGTTGATATTCATTACGCAATTATTATTCTTATCATGAATGAAACTTTTCACTAGGTGTTCACTTCTTTTCTTTCTTCTTTCCCTCTAAATAAATATTCTTAAGATTACGAAGTTTGTAATTAAGACAATAACTTGTGTTACACTTAAATTAACTTCTCAGACCCGTTTTATCTTCACTATGCATATATGACTCATACATATTGATATTTCATTATCCTTTTCACTCAATTGAGACTTTCATCGCATCACTCCAAACTATGACTGCACAAACATTTATTCTAGCGTCATATCTTTCTTAGATATTTTTTGTTACTAATTTGACGATATGTACATAGTCGTTTGTTCTTGTTTTATGTTCATAAACACGCCAATTAAACTGTTTGCGTATTTCACGTCTCTTTTATTTATATTCCCTTATTTTCTCCATTTCCTTCTTTAAACTCAATTCAATATTCTTCTCAATTACACAGACCCGATTTATTATTATTAATATTCTACTATTATTACTCTAATTTTTTTTAATATGGCAAGTGTAATGCTAACATTATTGAAAATTGTGTATTATTGCATTTTTTGAAGAAACCCGAAATGGTTTCTTCACAACACTTATGTACCCATAAGATGTTTGTGAATAATAATAATAATAATAATAATAATAATGACGAGTCTACAATTTTAGGATTAGGTCTATTATTAGCGCAGTACTAATATCATGGTAGACCATAAGTCTACATATCCACGCAGGAGTTGACGGTTAGAAGCCATTTAGCCAAAATAAAATATTCTCATCTTTGCATTACATGTACAGTATCAAGCTAGATGGAAGTCCCTTCAATGGTCTAAAATTGATGAAACACGTACACCTACTCAAGCCTATGTATACAAAACATGAATCACATTTCTTAATGTCAACAGCTTGCTTTCAAGTTCCTGTTAAGTAGACGATAAAATATTGTAATTCTTAGGCCGAATATAAATAAGTGTTACCAACTCTCACAAGCTCTCCCTCAGAAAAACGTAAGCTGTTAATTGTATAGATACTCCTGTGACTTATAAGTGAGTATATTATCGGGATTCCTAGCATTTAAATATAACCCCTTATTTTCCGTAGAATTTCTTGCAGCATACTGTGCAACAAGACAAATTAGCTCCAGATAATATTCATGACCCATGTTCGTAAATTCACTACAGGCCTAATGAAACATCTGTGTAAAGTTTTGGTGGATTCCTAGATAACGTCAAGTTTATATGGATGTGTTGTTGCGCTCTCGAACGACCGAGATCTTAGATTTCACGTGCGACACGTTTACGTAACTGAAAAGATAATACTTGGCAATAACTGTAAGTTAGTACATGCATAGTGTATCGTATTTTTATTACATTCAATAAACAAGTCCGAGTGTTGGTATTTCATTTTCTGTAGTCACAGAGCATCTTCAACTACAATTTGAATTTGCCACATAGGATTTGGAAACTAGGTTTCTACCTGGTGATTGACCAAAGTTATTTGGTCTCAGACGAGAACAAAATTGGAAATCGGCACATTTAAGCACTTGTGATCATTAGGTTCCACAGCTGTTCAAAACGGAGTTATTTCTTCTGGCCTCAATACACTCTGTCCAATAATTCATGCTACAGCTAAGCCAGTTATATATGGTTGGCGAACTTTTGAGTCCCATCATCAATGAGCCAGTTTGCTTAAGATATTGATTGTTGAAGATCTATTGAACACAATATAGATTTGGAACTTCGTAAATACCATTAAGATTAACAAAACTTACCTAGGATCTATTATATGCGCAATTTATAGTCTTACTCACTATATGTAGCACCAGTTATTTTTGGACAAGTGCACTGTAACACAGTCTTAGAGGTAAGATAAAGCGCGATTAAAACCTCACCAGGAACAGTACTTTAGTACGCTTCTTTGCTTAAGTTACTGATCGAAATGGCTTGCACGATACACGCCCCATTCGGAAGGCAAACCAGGAAAGTGACGGCAGTGGTCGGAAGAAAAAGGATATGTAATTGTAGACATAATTATCTGAATGTGAGACCTCTGAGATAGCTGCCTAGACATTGGGAAAAGAGTCCTCCATCGAATGCGTAGAGATATGTCTATAATGCTTGGCTAATTGACTTGAGCTAGAATACCTACCAGAAGTAGTAGTTTCAATAAAGAGATCGATTGCCTCTGAACAATTTGCTCGAGGAAGTTGCTTGCAGGGAAACATGGGGGCAACACAATCATGATTTCAGTCAATCTTGACTATATTCCATGTGGACGCCGATGATTGCCCGTCTTTTTGGCCTGCTATGCTTAGCAGCGTCTGGTCGTCTTTCCTTACTATAGGTGAAATCTAGGACACATTCTACTTCATAAATGAACAACTCTTGCTTTTTTCGTTCACAAGGCTTTCATATATTGAGCCAACAAGCGATAGCTCTTAAGACGTCATTCGAAACTAGACCACTCTATTTGGGACATCTGTCATGGTAATGACATATAGAGGGAGTAAATTCTACTGGTTTTGTGGCACGTCCAAAACTAAATTCGCGTTTGAATTATTCAATAATCTCTCAAAGTTCCTAGAATCCGGCTTAGCTTACTGAGCGCCACGATAAGATAATTCTTACTTCTAGAACTCCTACTTCTCTAAAACAAACGTCTTCACCCACCCATCAACTTCCCTGGAGTAATTGTGACAGAATACCTGAAATACCCACATTGGACAACATTTAACAACGGGAACCTTGAGGTGGCTCCAGAAAGTGAACGTAAATATATCGGTCAGTTTGTGCAAGCTCATCTGAAAGATATTGGATACTGTACATATATCTGAAACATATTTCAATGCCATCCTCCTGGCGGGAAAGGGTCCAACCAGCTAGTTCCGTGAGTCGTCACAGTTTCTGTATGGTTTTTCGTGCTTAACTTTTTCGTTTCTAAGTTTTCGGGTTGTTATAATATCGTGTTAGTGGATATGAGTCAAATAATAATGTACTAATGTTATACACTGCATGGGTATACTGTATGCATTACTATTTGATGATTTTGGTTTGAGTCATATGTGGTTCGAAGCAATATTAGCGGAGATGGAAGTTAACAAGTTATTAACAAAATTTCCTCGCGAATTCGTCAATAATTTCCGTAGACTTCGAATCCCTCGATTTGTTTCCAAAGGGCACACAATTTGGTTCGTTATGCATTTCTATTAATAAGCATATAGCGTAACACCTCAGAAATGTGGTCAGGTGTCTCGTAGTTACTTTCCTTATGTAGAAGTGTAATCTTATATAGTTACAGTGTCTTTAGGTGCCGTAGGTCTCGAATTGTTCACATTTGGCGATTAGATCACAAGACGTTCTGTTCCTAGTAGAGGCTACACGTTGTCCTAGAAGTGTTAAACTCTCATCATAAACAAGCTACAGTCCAAAAGTGTGTGGGGGAAAATTTAGTTCAGTATTGAAGTGTACTTCGCCATCGTTCTCAGGTCCTACAACTGTATGCGACACATCCACTTCTACATACTGACTTTGTATCGACAGCCTTTCGGAAGGGAGTTTTTGAGCATAATATATCTCATCCTAAGATTCGCGCTACCACTGAGTTGGAAAATTGTTTAGCATAAGATGAATGTTGATATATAGCAGTGTTTTCAAAATTCCTTGCATTTCCAGCGGGGTAAGATTAACATACAACCACCGAACTAGTACGATTTGATATGCTCTACACACTGGTTTAGTAAGTCCATTGAACCCATCTAGTAGTTTCAATTACATCTTCACTTCAGTGGCTTGTTTCTTACTGTGAATATCTCGTTCGAGATTGTTTTCATCGACAGATGGGTTTCAAACTTTAGCGTATCGTTAGCATTCACTTGAGATAGTAGTCCCTAATTCCAACATAGCTTGTTAAATGAGCTCACTCAAGTCTTGGGTGCGCATTATATCATTATTACAATACGCCATCCAACGGCTAACGGACTTGTGGAGAGGTTCCAATTACAACTAAAAAGCGTTGGTAACTCAGCCTGAGATATCCTATTGAAATGAATACAAACTACTGCTTTTACTCAGAACTCGTTCAGCCGTTAAACGTTTGAATCGTACACCTGCGCAACTTGTTTATGGTTCTAATTTAACTTTTTGCCCCTATACGAGTTAGATGTACTGGCATCACGTCTTCTGATCCACAATTAAAAGCCTGTAATAACAGGAAGCTTATACCAAAGAACAGGTCAGTAAGCACTATTGCACTTACAGCTCTTTTGTTCGGGGAGACACTTTCGTAGCACTGCTCATTTGAGACTTTAAAGTACTAGAGCTGCTTGATAAATATCTCAGCAGAAATGGGAAGATTGAAATTTCTATTTGGTAATATTGGAGTTGCTCGCATAAGCCAAAGTTCATTACACCCCAGTTTCGCAGAAGGGATAAAAAGTGTACTAACAGGCTCCCTGCATTATGATTTAACTTCTACCTAGTTCTGCAATCTCAATGGCCCTTAAAACCAGTACCTCTAGTGTTCAGCTTTCAACCCGTCTTGCCTAACCAAAATGTCACTCATACTGGAAGATATATTCACATTCATAAACTTTATGTAAACCTTATCTGTCAATTCCCTCCCATCTCTACATCCTATTTGGTCATATATTTGTATTCGTTAATAGTATTCTTTTTATGTAAATCATTTTTTCCTGTCACGATCATTTCCATATTCATTATATTACCACCTGTTTATAAATATATTTAGTCGTTTAGTGATCCTCTATCGTATAACTCATTTGTGTAAATTACATTTTTTTGTGGATGTGACTACTATTTTGTGGTTATATTTCGAACGCACCCTTATGTTCGGACCACTAAGAGCTTCATCTTGGGTATATTCTGTCGTTTTAAAGACTTGTAATTATAGCCAACATTCAATCTATCAAGATGACCTAGTTGTCATAACATTCGTTATCCGACCAACGTAATTTAGCTCCGGTTTGGGGAACTGGATAGTTTCACTCTCTTTTACACTGTGGCTTAAAAGCGACTGCATAAACATCTACTTAGTAAATGACTAAATAATTGTATAATCTACCAGTGAGGATAAAATAAAACGCACTTTGCAAAAGTCGACCCAACTCTAGGTTCTAACGTGGTGGCTGAACCCGCCTACTTCAATAATCCAATTGGGCTGTGCTTACTGGAACATACTGTGTGAAGTCCTACCACCTCGTGTACATTTTATGACGATTTTGTTTTGCTGATTTTCCCAGGACTTAGCAGCGTTTCATAAATAATTTATATGTAGCGGAGCTGCCTTTCCAAAAATAAAATAAGTACTTAAACAAAATTGACTCCCCGATTCGTACGTTCTCCTCTATCGTTAAACAGTTCAGAGGGTTGAGATTAGTTCCTAAAATTACGTAAAAATAGCTCAACATTTCGATTTTCTGGCTGGGACCCTGCTCTCTCTTTCCTAGATAAAATAGTCCGATAGCATCCGTAGCTCTCATTAGGAAGACTAGACAAAATGTGTGTTATTTATTTATTTGAACACATAAATACTGGTACAAGGAAGCACCAGATACATATGTGCCACACAAATCAAATGAGATTTGTGTGAGGGCTGTGATACTGCCCAGGTGCCCAAACTGAAACAGGTAGTTTCCTTAGGGGCTCGAGACTGTGACCTAAAAGTCAAATCCACAAGGTGGTGGAGCAAAATCAGAAGATGCAGTCTCATGGTAAGTCAGTTAGTAACAACTTAGAACTTCGTATGTACGTACATCAGTTCGATCTGCCATACCACATTAGCACAGAGATGCAGTTGTCGATTGAAATCCCGTAGTGGTAGAGGTAGTAAGAGTATAAGCAGTAATCGGAAAGATTAGGGTTTGGAGATGTTATTTAAAGAGTATAATCTAGTGAAATAAATTCGTGAGGAGAAAAAAGAGACAAGGAGGAATCAGGAGATTAGAATTTGGGAGAACACAAAGAGTGGATGCACCTGCGCCATTGTAAACGATTTTCAGCCATGTCATTCAGGGTCTCTAATCATCGGTTGCTATCATCTCGCGGTCCCCAACCAGGTAGTCTACACCTACCAACATGACTCAGTCCACTTGTCAGTGACTTCATGGACTTGTGCCATGTTTTGGTCTGGCCGCCCCTTGCTTTCTTCCAACCTACTCCTATACCACTGAACATCGCACGTCGAGGCAGTCGGTCGTTGGGCATACGTAACACGTGTCCCAGCCATCTCAACTGATGAAGTTTCACTACTTCATCAATTGATTTGCCATCCTTACCTAGTACCCGTTTCCTAACAACTGAGTTACTTACTCGATGGTCCCAGGATATACGAGCAATGTTTCGAAAACACCTATGATCAAATACTAGTAACCTACGAATATCCTCTACTCTTACCGGCCATGTTTCACTGCCATAAAGTAGGACGGAACGAACTGCTGCGCAGTAAACGTCCTTTGGTTGATAGACGGATATCTCGCCTACGCCATAAATGACGCAAGTTGGCAAAAGCTAGTCGAGCCTTCTGTATCCGTGCTGAGATTTCGTCACACACCAGACCACAAGGGCTGATGAGACTTCCAAGATAAGTGAAGCGGTCGACACGCTCAACTACTTCACTCCCTATCATTAGTTCGGGTGTCGATACAACCCAATCCTGAAGCAACATTTTGCATTTCGAGGAGGAGAATCGCATCCCGAACATGCTTGCATTGTTGCTTAGAGTGGTCAGAAGACTCTGCATTTTGTCAGCGTCTTCACCAAATAAAACTATGTCATCGGCATATTCTAAGTCAACAAGTGAACCTCCTGGTAGAAGTTCAACCCCTGGAAATCTAGATGAGGAAAGTGTTATCTCTAAAAGTACGTCGACGACAAAGTTGAACAAGAATGGAGAGAGTGGACAGCCCTGACGAACACCACTTGAGGTAATCAATTCTGATGACAGTTCGCCATAAGCTCTCACTCGACCAGTTGTGTTCGAGTAGAGAGCCTTTATAAGGTTAATGTACTTCTTTGGTACTCCTTTCAGTGACAAACACTGCCATAGAACCTCACGATCAACAGAGTCGAATGCCGCCTTAAGGTCGAGAAATACTACCATTGTGGGGCGTCTGAACGTGTGTCTGTGTTCTAGAACCTGACGTAGTGTGAATATCTGATCTATACAACCACGTCCAGGTCGAAAACCAGCCTGATTTTCTCTAGTCTGCTCTTCACGAGCTTTAGTTAGGCGTCGAAGTATTATTGAAGCTAATATTTTAGACACTATATTAGTCAAACTGATTCCTCTGTGATTGTCACAAGAGGACTTTTGTCCTTTATAGAATGGCACAATCAGTGATTGAGACCAGTCAGATGGGATTACGTCCAGTTCCCAAATTCTACCTAAGACCTCAGTTAATCTCACTGCTAATACTGAACCACCATCCTTAAAAATCTCAGGAGTAAACCTGTCAGGGCCTGCTGCTCTCCCTTGCTTCAGATTTCCTATGGCTTTTTCAACTTCGTAAAGACGGAGGACCTACATTAACTTGCCATTCAGGTTGACTGGAGATCGTGGGAAACCGAAGTGTGGCTGAAGGCCAGTTGAACTGATCCCTAAAGTGTTCTGCCCATCGATCCAATCTCCTGGATTGAGAATGAATAATATGTCCATCTTTTTCTGAGATTGTTTCGCTAACAGTTGGGTTCCCCATACTGGTTTCCTTGACAAATCGGGACAATTGTCTGCTGTTGCCTATTGCCTCTGCCTTTTCCATCTCTCTTGGTTTCGCTACCCACCACTGTTCGCGACCATTGCATAGGCGCTTAAGCTGACTCCGCTCTTCATTATGTTCAGAGCCAGATGGAATTAGTTTCCGAGCATCTATCAGTGCGATAGATGCTGCTGAGATCCAGTGTTGCTCCCTAACCTTCTGGTTTACCTTACTAGCAGATATCACTGCTGTTTCCACAGCTTTTCGGATGTCATTCCACGCTGCCTCGGGATGGGCATCACTTACATAGCTGCCTAACTTTTTCTAGTTCCTGAAAGGTATTCTTAGCTTGGCTATCATTAAGTAGGGCCCCAAGATGTTTCCTTGCAGCGTCTTCCCTACGTCCAGTAAGACGCAGACAGATACGCGCTCGTACTAGAGCATGACCTGAATCTAAGTATGTGCTCCAGAATGAGTGACAGTCTTCTATCGAGCCCCTCCATCGGTGGCTGATAGCGATTTGATCTATTTGGGTCCAACGTTGGGACGAATTAGGGGGTTGCCATGTTAAAAGATGTTTTTGCTTATGCTTAAAGTTAGTATTTGCAAGGAACAGGCGGTTATCAGAGCATAGGTGCGCTAGACGGTCGCCATTATCTGTTCTTTGAGCCACGATGCTATAAGATCCATCCAGGTGTCTTTCCCTATCGCTTAGTTTACCTACTTGAGCATTAAAGTCTCCAGCCACTATTACTACATCAAAGTGCATTTTTCGGGTCGACTTTTTCTAACCCCACCCCTCCTTGTGGAAGGCAGCATCGCTGCAGATGCTGGTTGTCCGAGGGATACACCTTACTGCTGTCACACCCCTCTACAGTCAGGAGTACGACTTAGCCCTCAGACCTTGAGTTGCTGCTTTTAGTCTTACCGTTCTCCAATCGACCTTCCTGGCATGGTAGAACCTACAGGAACATATGTTCCAGCCAATATAGCTCGGTTGGGTCATCACGATAGGCGAGCCCGACCACCGCGTCAAGGTAGCAGCTTCGGTCGGGAATGTATCGGGGAATTTTAATTATATATATATATATATATATATATATATATATATATATATATATATATATATATATATATATATATATATATATATATAAATCAAGTCTGTCGCAATCTTTTGGGTAAATCGTTCTGCTTAATTATTGTCTCACCATTCTCTTAATTTGTTTATTTATTTTAAATCTTACCTTCTTATAGTTTGAAAATGAGCACTCCTAATCTACCAAATGGTACTATCAGATCTGGTTTACCTTTTGAGTTATGTCGTTCTGACTACTCCCTCCCGATACCGGTCATATCACAAGCATCATCCTTAGTTTCCGTTCCTAGAAATGTATTTAATGCTTATCCATCAACTGCACAATCCAGAAGCAGTAATGTCCTACAGAAACCTACCGGTAAAATAAATCTAGTTTATTAAAATTGCTTTTCTAGTCAGTAATTCAACGTCGAATTTCCCTTTAGTCACTACAAGTAACATTGCTCAGTCGAATGCCAACGCTTTCGCAAATTACCCAGCATTTAACAGTATTTTTCAAACACTTTTACGTGGAACAAATCCATCTCAAGTTACCATTTCTCCCCCAAATGTCTCAGGTTATGTTAATACAGTGGCAGGACCGAATGGGAATCTGTTCACTGGTTTTCGACCTACGCAACTATCTTATCAGCCGAATATTCACATCACTGCGCCTGGGATTATTTCGTCTGGATCCACTCATGGCACAGTAAACTCAGTTGCATTGAGGTCAACAAACTGTACCACACGTAACAATGTCAATTCCACATCGACATATACAACCACGGCCACTACAACTTGTAATTCACTGACTACCAGTCGTACAGTCAATCCATCCGTGGAATCATTATTTGTGTCGAGTAATTTTGTTTCAGTTTCTGACTCAATCAATCGCGCGCGAAAATTGGGTGCTGCGGCTTTTGTTCGATGGGCAGAAGGTTTGTAATGTTCGATTTCTTTTCTAGGGTATTTTTCACTCTAACTTATCGAATTTCAGTTTACCCCTCTCTTGTAGACAAAATATCTGATAATTCTACTGTGCTTACTGCAAGTTCGGAATCAGCTCAGCTATTCGCTTACTGACGTTTAGTAAAATCACTAATTTTCTGCGATCGTAGATCACAAATTCAGTTTATACCTTGCGCGTGTATTAAAATTCAGTACCGAAAAAAATGTTTCTTTTGCATGTATGTGGTCTTTCTTAGCGTAATATCAGTTTTTCACGTGTAAACTCCGTCGTTGAAGGTATATGTCATGGAAGGATTTCGTGTATTTTATAATAGCGAGTGGCATTTAGCTTTTTAAAGTAAAGGAATCTGATTCTGATCAACAGAGGAGACTCATTGATGTAGTGTAAGCGAGTAATAACTGTTTACAAGTTCAAATTATTGCCGTAAGTCGCTAAATAAAATCGCACCAAGAAAAAAACAAGTCAACTATCCACCATAATAAGTTTTCTTTTAACAAAATATTATGTTCATGTATAATACATTAATTACAAAATGAACATAATTAAATTTCCTAGGCGATTGGGAGATAATAGATTTATAGATCAGTCACTCGCCAACAAATTCGAACTTGACTTAAGCGTATTTCTTAGGCTTCATATCGATACAATTGCTGAATAAAATAGTGTGACTTAATTTCTTTTTTATTTATTTAAACCAGCTCTCTTTGATGTGGATTTATTATTTTCCTTAATGCGTTTGTTGTTAGTTAGAATCATTACCATAGACGTTCATGGTATTATTTTACTTCGAGTTTTTGCTAAGTTCTGGTTCCATCTTGTATGTACTTGACAGAAACTAGAAATAGCAGTAGTGTATGGTGATCACATTAAATTTATTATACAATACTTGCTAATGTCTGGAATGTATATCGAATTCATGGAACATTGTTTTGTCTGATTTATGCTTATCATTTGAGCTATATGACTAACTCATATAATAACATTTAATTTCCTTTGTATTTAGCGTGTACACGGTCGTTCCGAAAGGAGCGGATTTCTGTTTGGCCTCGATGCAAAGCCGATTCAGATGCATTGCATGAAATGAACTGGATTATTTCTCCACCTGGTCTTTTAGGCATTTATTCTGAATCTCCTTTTTTACGACCTGTAGTACTACTGCGCCGTGTTCAGTTTACTGCTCCTGGAAATGTCAATCCAAATATACCGGATACTGATAATATGGTCCGTTCTCTGCGTGAAATGGCTGATGCTAAAGTAACAAAGTATCCAGGTTTCGCTCCACAATTTCCACCTTCCGCAGCTTCTGTAGGTTTCACAACAGACTACATGACCTATGTATTTACCTTAGAATTGGAGCGTCAAGTTGTCAAACTACTACGTCCTAAGTAAGTTCATATGTACTGATATAATAAAAGTACCAACAAATAAGGTTGAAGCTCACTGAATTGTTAGACTAATCAGATAAATTCTTGCATAATGATGAATTAGATTTTAGATGCAGGTCTTCATGACACTGTGTAGTGAAATCTCAACGTAAAAACTGATAGCTGTGCATTCGATCTTTAAAAAAATTTTCGTAAATTTAAGTTGGAGATTAATTTTAATCTACAATTAAGCAGGGGAAATCTAGAAAAAGGATGTAGACAAGCTGTTCTTCAAAAGGTGATGGTAAATACATTTTACAAGGGGAAAAATTGAACATTATGTATTTCACAACCGTATCGAATTTTGAAGGAAACAAAAGCATCGAAGTTATAAACAAGATACTTATTTTCATCAATCGCCACAGCATATGTTGACTGACACTTCTATTTGCATATTTCGTTCTGGCTTGCCTTGATGAGTTCGGTTTCTGCAGTGTGCATAAAAAGTATGTTTTTTAAACTTATTTTCTTAGATACATAACCAAATTTTGTCCCAATAATCATTTGTATAATGCATACAAAATCCATATAGTAAAAGCGTCCACTTGAACAAATCCCATACAACTAAAACCATTTCAGAAGAAGTGGCTTACACTGAAAAACGAAACGTCAGAAAATTTAAAAACCTGATTTTTCTACTCATTTCAATATTACAGATATATTATTTTTGTTAATAAAAATCTACCCAATGCTCAATTTATGAAGAATTATCGAGTCAGACCTTGGTAATGACACCCACCAATCTGAATCCGACACTTACTTAGATATTCATACCTTGTAAAAACTCTTCAAATGTAAGGGAACTATTTAAAGAGCTTACAGGTGGGAGATGTGTTAATGAAGATAACCAGCTGAATGTTTGTGACTTAAATAAGTCTTTTGTACGTCAGTTATCTGATGTCATGCCTCCTGTATCCACAAGTTTGAAGAATAGTTGTGTTTCAATATTCATTGAAACTGATGCCAGATAGTGTTTCCAGTCGATCAACTCATTCTAATATTTGGGACCTGACGAAATCCCAAACCTCCTTTTAAAGAAGTGTGCTGACACTCTGTGCCATCCATTCATGGGCATCTTTAACAAATCCTCAACTAATTTCATACTGAAAAGGTGTAGGAAAGTATATGGTGATAGGAATGTAAAAATTACACCCATAGCAATAACTTCTCCTTTTTTCAAAACAATGGGAAAACTACTACTACTCTCACCTCAACCTGCATTTAAAGAGCATATTGATCCATATCAGTTTGCTTACAAATGCAAGAAAGTATCTTAGATGCTGCTATTATTTTGCACCATAGCACGTTTGCTGTCATTAAAACCTACAACTGGATAACCATCTGGATGCGTTCTTACCTTTCTGGAAAAGAGCAATACACCGTCCTCGGAAGAAAGTATTCTACGTCTCCGCCTACTCATGAAGGTGTGCCACAATGAGCTGTTCTGTGTCCTTTTTTCCTGAATGATCTGCCATCTTTGACAGGAAATACTTTTGTTCAATGTATGGACGATCTCATTGCATATACACCGATATATACCTATTTATGTCCCCTTGAAATGAATGAGCTTTTGTCTCTCATTGAACGATCGTTGGTTGTTAATAGTTTCACACGTGATCTTTCTGAATCGCAAACTTCCCTCAAACTCCCTGGTACGGCCGAAAGTGGGGAGAGTCTGCTCTCCCTCTCGAAATGCTCTCACATGGCCACGTGTATACAGCCACGATTAGGGAAGTCCTACCCAATGCCTTCTCGCGATGGGGATGTTATTTACGAAGTTGGGAAAGCGAAAAGCGAATGTCCGGCTCTTTAACCGGGCTGGTAGATATGGAGGATCCACCGAGGGGATTTAGTATACCCTAACTCCAAACGAATGGTGCATATGCGCTCCGGTGTCCTGAGGGAGCAAATGGCGTATGAACCAATCGTTGGTCACCGGCTACCATGGGACTGCATCTTCTAACGTTGGTCCACTACCTTGTGGATCAGATTTTTGTGTCAAATGCTCGGTGTGTGACCCCCTAAGAATACCACCTGCTTCGACCTGGGCATCTGATTAGTATCACAGCCCATACACAAATCAAGTGACTTGTGTGCTGAATATTTATTTGGTGCCTTCTTGTACAAATGTTTGTGTTTAAATTAATAAATAATATGGCAAACTTCTAACTTTAGACTGAGACATAAATACTCCTTAAACACCTTGTAGGATTCCCATAAAGTTTATACTACTGGCGATTCCGTAATAAACAGTATCAAAACTTATTTGTTTTTGTGGAAGTTTTCCCTTTGATCTCTTTCCGTCTTCTCATGTTTTAGTGATATTGAGTTTTCCGTTTAATTTATTATATAAAGAGGCTACATTCTTCATTAATTTTACGATTTGTAAGTTCTTGCATATTACCTGTCATTCTTTGCCGGGTTTTTGAAAAAAGATTTTGCTGTTCTGCAGAATGATGAAGGCAGTTAGCAGGGTGTGTGGTGAATGTTTTGAGGTCATTATTAATATGGTACTTTATCTAACGAATATACTTTGAATAGCAGGTTGTTAGAGCTGACCTATTCTTATTTTTAAATGTGTCTAATTATGAGCTGTACAGATTCTTATTGCACTTGAAACATTCCAATTAATTCCAGGTAGTTTACTAACTTAGTGTATATGTATGCAGTTATCGTTTTTTTTGTTTTTTTAAAGGAACTCGTTAAAATATTGTGTGCTGAGAATTCCATATCGTACTAAACATATATTGAATAAAGCCAGTAATAATAATAGTAACAATGAGACTATAATTCATGGACGACATTTAAGCGACGCTGAAGTTACCTTGAGAGTGTCTATCTACTTATTAGGGCTAAATGAAGGTTATAATGCAGTTTGAAGGATAAAGACAATGATTTACAGTTGTTGGTTTTCATCACAAACTGACAGCAAAATGCCAAGACGCTATTTGGACGAATGGGTGACTGAATTTCGCACCAAAATTCAAGACCTGTTATCCTAATTCTGATTGGTTCTTCCACAAATTATAGTCTCTCCATAGTAACAATAAATCCATAAACTTATTTTCTTATCATCTCCATACATCTTAGCCGATAGTGCTTTGCAATAGTTTTGATTTTCGTTTCTTGAATTCCAATGCATTTGACTCACTGCCTCATTATCATACTATTCAGGCTCTTTAAAAAAAGTGCTGAAATGAAAGAATTCCAAGTGTGCGCGTTGACATGCTAAGAAGAATTTGTGGTATACGTTATTTGTCATAATAATTGCTTTACGAAATCATATTATTTAGATGGTAACGGGTGCCACACGGTCCAAACAAAGAACATGTAATTTCATGGGATGATATTTCTAATGGCCATCTTAAACTTAAACTATATGGGGGGGGCAATTTTCATGCAAGCACTGATATAAAACACAGTAGTTTTTATCGTTTATTTGCAAATATTACGTTAAACTAAACACGAGTTCTCATTTTTCTAGTTATTTTCGTAGATTGGTCTGTGTACTAAAATATTGATTCGATTTTTCGCCAGTATGTCTGTCACACCAAATTATGTATTCAAAGTTTAGATAGACGGACATGAATTAAATTAAACAAATGATCCACTAATTCAGACTGCAGGTCTCACTGTGAGCGTGTCAGTACACAAGTTAATCTATCGATTTTTCAACTTGCATCCTGATTGGTTGCCTTTGTAGGTCACTTGTGATCGAAATTAGACAGGTCGGCCCAAGGACAGTCTGTCTAAATTAATTCTTCTTCAAACAGAGGTTTTTATTTAAGGTAGTTCCGGAGGGACTAGTGCTTGGCATCCACGTCGGTTTCTTATTCAGCTATAAGTTTCATCAGGTTGTGAACTTTCATCATCCTTCGACATTTGGACATTTCAATTTCAATGTTTTTTAATAACTCTGCGGGTATACTGTATTTTAATTATAGTTATGTATTGGTTGGTCTTTCTGAAGTTAGATATACTCTTCATACAACTGTACAAATAATGTTTGTTGAGTATTCTGCAAATTTCCCTCCTCATTGCTTCCATGATTTTTCTATGTGTTGTTTCATTAGTTCAGATAATAAATGTCTATAAGTGACTGTCTCTTTCACTTATGCATTGTTTGTGCTTTTAATGTTACCTAATTTTGGAGGAAGGTATCTGGTGTTTTTCTTTTCATATTAATGTTTTTACTCATAGACGTATCGTGCACGTCAGTGGTTTGTTTTTGTTTTCGACAATTCCCACGCGTCTTCCATTTACTTTCGTATTCTGTTTTTAACTACTTATAAGTAACTCGTTACAATCAACAAAGTTTTGTTGTCGGGTAAAAATTTTTGATATTCGAATGCATGGTATTTTCGAACTCTACCAGGATGTTATTACTGTTATTCAGTCGTATACCATGATGACTCTCGAGTACTCGGAACTAAAGCTAAAATATGGGTTACCGTGCTTTGAACACCGAGTAGTAACCAATGACAGGTTAGTTCGTAGAACTACTACTCAATGATTAACCGTTGTACATATTTCATTCTTACGGGAGGTCAGTCTCAGCTTGGACAGATCGTTAGCGTATTATCATGCTATGAAAGTGGGTGACTTTGGTCCGAACCCCACTTGGAGTACTGGGACCTCTGTGATTCCAGATATGACTTACTGACGAGTCCCAACCTATGTCCAGGTTCTGCCAACTATCTCCAACTACATTATGTCAGTTATCGTCTTATTTTGCAAATTCGTAAATCACTCCTCCCGTTATTTGGTACGTCCAGAAGTTCAGTCAGCCATACACAAATTAGGCTCTGATATGTCTGTTAGCTGACGTCACACCATATCATCACAGTATGATGAAAGTATCAAAACAAATTCTGGAGTGGTAGTACAACAGATTATGCATATAGACAATAGCATTCGAGAAGAAAGAATGAATTGAAGGGATAAAGTAATTATAGGATAATTAACAACTGGATATCTAGGGGAAGATGCTGAATGGGTGCATCTGCACTAATGAGCCATGTCACTCAACGTTTCCAACTATCGGTTACGATAGTCGTGACACCAATTAGGTGAGCTTCATCTGACAACACGGTTCAGTATAACAGTTAATGAACTTTACGCATTGATGTCACAGCTTGATTTAGTCGAGCTTATAGACTTCCTACACCTTACGTCAAGCCTTAGTGAATGGGCATACGTAATGCATGCCGAAATTTGAGTGTTGTTGTGTTCGGTCTCATTCGTTAGGTTTTTCTCATTTCTACCTCGATGTTCACTGTCATAAACCTTTTTAGTGGACTTTTCTGATTTTCCTCCGTGAGGAAATGCCACATTTCACATAAATTTTTTAAAAAATTGCTTTCTAGTTAGGTTGGTCGTTTAGTCGATTAATTAGTAATCGGATTTGTTGTTCTACATCTCTTTATTAATTAAAATTCCAAACTTCTTATAGTCTATTGAGGTACATAATTACAATTTCCTTCCGTATTTATCTTTTAAAGGACTGGTGATCATTCTGAATGGAGAGTAGTACTAAGGCTAGGTTGGGCGACGACGGATTTCTATGTTCCAAGCAGTGTATCCTCCAATGCTGCGTCACATCGAGCCCTTGTCTTGGAGTCATTACCTCGTTGCCTTTCTATTCGTGTCTCCGGTCGACCCGTACCCTTACCTGACCCCATTTTTCATGGTGGTCAGGCTCAACGTCTTGGGAAGCGCCTTCGTTTATCAATTGATATAACAGACAAAGTATGTGCATCTTTCTAATCTGATTATATTTTATTAGCTCCATCGTTTTTTGGCAAAACGTTTATTCAATACTGTCATAACTTGTGGCCATTAGCATATAATGTAATGATACCGTCAATTAGAGAACAGTGATTTATCGACAGATCCAATGACATATAAAACTCGTACGAGCAGTCTAGAATCTATCGGTCCTGCTTCCTGTTAATTCCGGAACACCAATCTCACCCTCCACGATATGAATTATGTATTTCAAACATACTGGGTTTTTACACAACAGTCAAACAGACCACATCATAACATGAAATAGAAAATAAAATTTGTACAAGATCTAGCCATAAGTGTCTGTGAACGTTGGAGATTGTAATTATTAGACTGGGCATAACTCAAGAACGGTAAGCCGTGTACTAATAATCTATGAGTGAAAATAAAGCTGATAATAGGAGGAAGATTAATATGCATATTTTAGCTACTTTATAATTATACATTAAAAATAGTATAGTATTAGTCCAGAAATAAATTCCAACAGTTACTATTTATTATTCTCATCGGGATATAACAAATACATTAAAACTAGTGAACTTTTTTTATTTACATCGTTATTTAAAGACTAGGAGTTTTAAACATAACTTAATAGGAGGACAAACGTTATAGTAATGATCTAATACACTCCACCGAATCGCCTAATTAGGTTTATTATAAGCTTGTACAAAAATCTCAGTAGTTTTTATATTCTTAGATATGCCGTGGGATCTGTTTACTTTTTTTGTATCATCTTTTAAACTATCTCAAAACGTGACTGAAAATAAGAAATATCTCAGGATATGTTAAAGAATGGTATTGCAATAAATGGTAATCAATGTTCTCTATTCACTCAGTGTGAAAGTTAATAAACAGTTATTTAGTCTCCACATAATGGAAAGGAATCGTTCTTAAGGTGGCCATGTTACTACGGTTTAATTATGCTTTGACCTCAGTTGCAGGTCCGAACCCTGACACACCTAATTCGGTTTGAGCAATAGGATAGTATCATTAACCCTCACACTTATAGTGTTGCTCATACTCGAGCACCTGGTAAACGAGTTAATCGAGTTTAACTTCAATACATCTCTTGTTTTGACAGCTTATTCATATGAAATATAACCTGTCAATATTCTTGTTTCGTATATGCAACAATGTTCGATTAAATAAATTAACAAATATCCACAAGCCGTCTAAGTAAAAAATGATGTGTTCAATATTGACTAACTTCATAACAAATTCCCGAAGTTCACTTAACAAATCGTGACAACCGGGGTTAAGGCATGTCTCTAGTTAGATAGATATCACTAGTGCAACTAACTAATGCTTGCACAATATCGTTGAATAACAGAAGCTATAAATATAAACCCTTGAATTTCTAATTAAGTGTTATCAAGATAACGCACTCACCTTAAGGTTTCAAAGTCGTAGATTCAATCTGTGTTACAAATACAAAGGGATGCTGCTAGGAAATCGAAATATAAGGTGAAACAACTGTCCAGCGTATCCCGGTTTTCAACGTTTCTTCAATTCAAGCAATCAGTCGTAAGTAAATTAGATTATGATACATATATACATTGGCCAATTTCGGAATCTGTGGCCAATATATTCACTTCAAACAAATCAATAATATTGAAAATAATAAACGTGAATAGTGAATAGTAGGAGTAGCGTTACACATAAAGAGAAACAAATAAGTGCCATCACATGGATTTTATATATGAACGGATTTTCACACACAAATAAGCAAATGCATACAAGAAAAATCTTATAACTGTGTGTCAAAGTATGGGCCCATGTATTACATATCCAAACCACCTCAGACGATGAAAATCCATTACTTTACGAACTGATTTTCAACCTTTACCCAGTGCTCGATCTTGTTTTTTTAATTGGTTTTATTTGATTCATGACGAAAATGATCTCCAGACTGAACTATTCTCCATAAACCACCGAAGTAAAAATTACATGATGGAAACACTGTAGAAATGAAGTGTCATCCATAATGGTTTCCAACTTAATGTAGGCAATTTTCAACAAGTTTGGTAAACACATTCACTAAATTTTTGGTTTTAACTTGGTTTCATTGAAGTGAAGCCTTGTTCATTTCATTGAATTTAGGTAATTTCTAGACAAATTGAAGTAAACATTCCAATGAATCTATTGTAGATATCCAACTGTGTAGTGTTGCATTATCTATCTCACAAATATTTTAATGATTAGTGACTTTTTACCGTTTACTTATCACGTTAATAAATTTCCCGATAGAGGATGAACAAACCGAGTATATTTACGTATTTGTGTTACTTGTTCCACATAGATTTCAAGAGTTACAACTTGAACAATAATTTTTTTAATCAGGTACTCATGAAGTGTGGTTCTGCAGTTAGAAACAGAGTTGTCGATATTGAATTAACCTGGTTGCATGTACCATTGGAAGATCAATCTGTAGGACTCTTAAACTTGGTTGCTGATGGACTGGTTTCTCCATTGTTATGTCATCTAATTGGGTTGCCTCTAGTTCAAGTTACACTTGATCGAGCTTATTCAGTTTCAGATCTTCGAAATACCTTTAATTTAGAAAATCCAGAGGCCTACAAAAATTTCATCAATGGACCACTCTTAGATCCTATTGAATTTCCATCATTAACAGTAAATGCAGATGGTTCAGGAACTTTAGAAGATCATGGGGTTTTCGGGGCTTATGACAATTGTTTGCCACCGGCATTCTCACTTCCTGCTGATAATACAAAAGTAATGATTTTTGTCACAACTAGTTTGCTAGTTGTCAGTCTTTTTTTACAGTTCCGATGCATAACGTTACGAAAACGATCTTGACATTTAATTTATCATAGTGTCCAAATGTATTTTGATGCTTTTGAAGTGAAAGCAGCAACAGGCAACAAAAAATATATTCGGGTTGATATAGTCAGATAATTGTTATTTATATCAATAATCAGTAACTAGTAAGCTTCTAATTAATCAGAAGTGATAGTTTTCAACCTTAAATTGTTCAATACAACGCCTATTGTGATTTCTAGTAAAATTTATTGATGAAAATAGTTGATCTTCTGACTTATTAACAACAGGAATGATCCAAATAACTGCCATTCGACGAAGTGAACCCTAGTCTATCAAAGTTGTAAAATAAAATCCCACTAATTCTAACCTAAAAGACTAGTTCCTTATACTGCCAAAACTGTAATTCCGAAGGCTAGTTCTGTGTTTTAATTTAGGTTTTTCACGTTTTATTTTAAAGACTCCATTAACCAACAATGAACATCAAACAAATGGTGACTTGATATATACTACCTTGAAATAAGTCAGTTTGATAGTCTCATCATATTTCTTTTTTAAACGTTGTACCTAACCTTTAACATAGTTTGCATTTGTACTCCATCTGAGCAACGTGTTAAAGACACCGATAATCAAGTACTATCAACGTCCATATATTGTTTAACATCATCGTTTACTTCTTACAAATGAATGGTAGAAAAGTCTAATATTAATCAATCTTATTATGTAAACGAGTGTTTTTGTACCACACTTAAGTGAGTAATTATTGTACGATGTTATGTTCTATGAGTTTGTTTTGTGTCAGTAAAATAACTTGTCAGAAAAAAGTGGTCATTCATTTGAAGGAAACAGCTGGTTTGATTTTGTAATCCTGAATTATTTTTAAGCTAGATTGTTAAGTACAAAATGATTAATTCCAAGCACTTTTGCATTTCGTACTAATCTTCTGTGGTTTTTGAAAGACATCTGTTGATATCATTTTTTTCCTACAACTCTTAGATTGAAACTAATCATTAATAAACAACTTATTTCTTATTATGCCGTTATTTTTCAACTCTAGCATGAACTGAAATCTCGGCTTCAAAAATCGTCTAACGATAGTGATTTATGTTTTGAAGATGGTGACGTTGAGCTTGCTGACTATATCCCTGTGTGCTTATTGTGTCCACTAACTCGAACAAGAATCGATGTAAGTTTCTCCCCCTTTACACTGACATTGTTATTACTTTCCTGTGATTAGTTTGCCTTTCTAAATTTGTTATTTAGCACTTTATTGTCAGTATTTGTGTGGTTTAATAATCGTCTACTACTGAACTCTGCCCGTAGTTTTCACACAAATGTAGTATTGTACCTAGATTTGATTTTTCTGCAGTGTCATTCGGTTTCACATACTATAACCCTCCCCTTTAGGTTACTAATACAAAAAGACAATGCTGTGCCATTTTTTAAGATGGAATATGTGAGTCAAGTGCAGGTATTCCAACAGCATTGTTATTGCCTGCATCTAAGAGTATCGTTAAATAAAATCTTATGCTTTTGTTTGCTGTTTATACTACTATTATAATGTAATTCATTTGAGCCAAACACTTCATGTGATTCTTTGGAGCTGCCCACATTGTTTTAACAACTAATTTATCACTCCCGATAATTAGATTATACAATTCTAATAACTTTTCATTAAGATGTTTTTATAAAACATTCGAAACTAAAATTTTTTGTATGCCAACGTAAAAAGCGTATTCCATACAACAGTTAATCGTCTAATATAATAATCATATCAACTATCACTTTGAATTATTTAAACATAAATAAAAGAATGTTATTTGTTAAAATTATTTGATTTTTTCATATTTTTATTGTAGCTTCCTGTACGATCGTTCAACTGTTCACATCTTCAGTGTTTTGATTTACACTCATATTTAACAATCAATATGCGAAGACCACGTTGGTCTTGCCCTATTTGTAGTATCTCTGCACCATTTCGTGACTTAAGAGTAGATGAGTAAGTGGATTTTTTTTAGTGTTGTTATGTCTATCGTTTAATAGGTGTAAGAAATATATAAGTTTGAACAAACCAAGTTCTGACATCAATGCGTAAAGTCTATTAACTGTTATACTGAACCGTGTTGTCAGATGAAGCTCACCTAATTGGTGTCACGACTATGTGTCATTGGACCTGTCGATAAGTCACTGTTCTCTAATTGACGGTATCATTACATTATATGCTAATGGCCACAAGTTATGACAGTATTGAATAAACGTTTTGCCAAAAAAACGATGGAGCTAATAAAATATAATCAGATTAGAAAGATGCACATACTTTGTCTGTTATATCAATTGATAAACGAAGGCGCTTCCCAAGACGTTGAGCCTGACCACCATGAAAAATGGGGTCAGGTAAGGGTACGGGTCGACCGGAGACACGAATAGAAAGGCAACGAGGTAATGACTCCAAGACAAGGGCTCGATGTGACGCAGCATTGGAGGATACACTGCTTGGAACATAGAAATCCGTCGTCGCCCAACCTAGCCTTAGTACTACTCTCCATTCAGAATGATCACCAGTCCTTTAAAAGATAAATACGGAAGGAAATTGTAATTATGTACCTCAATAGACTATAAGAAGTTTGGAATTTTAATTAATTAATGTAATAACATTATCATTTTCACTATTCATGTATCGTTAAACTTATATCCCTTGAAGCACAAATTACCTAATATTTACTCTTTTAAACAGTAAATTGAAGTGTACATATTATTGATCTAAAAAATAATTTTTTTGTAATTTCGTTTTCTTTTCCACACCAGATTTTTTATGAGTATTTTGAAGAATCCTCGTAGTGTTGACGTTGAATTTGTTCAGTTGGATGCAAATGGTGATTGGCATTTAAATAATCCTAATGACGTTAGTCCAAATAGTTCTTTCATCACGGAATCTAATCAATTAAAAATTGAACAGAAAAATGTTGAAAATGTAAAGGCTCCTATTACATTAAAAAATCTTGAAGCACCTAATGAAGGAGCCAAAGTAACTACTGATAAATTGAATGAATCCGAAACAAACACTGTTGATATAAACAACACATATATGGAAACGACAGAACAAGTAACTAAAGATAATCACAACAATACTAATAGTAATAATGACAATTGTCAGCTAGAACCTGAGGTAATTATCTTAAGTGATGATGATGATGATATTAATAATAATGATACAAAGGAAACGGAGACAAATGTCCAAAATGGCAGTAATGATAAAAGTGTCATTCAGTGTCCACAAAATGTTGATAAGCTTAAAACCACTTGTAATAACGGTCAAAAGGATGATATAAATAATGGTTTTCCATGTTTAAACGAAAAAAGTACTATGTAAGTCAACACTTTCCTATGTTCCACTGGTGTTTACACGTATTTAGTCGTTTCACTTGCATTATGTAATGTGTACTTATCTATAAACTGTTGAATAAGTTATGCAATAGATTTTGTACTGTAGTGATTGCATATTAAAGCAACAAACATTTAAAATACAAAAAATGATAACATTTCGAGAACAAGTCCGCATCATATAAGCATACATTTTTGGGAGTTGGAAAGTCTTTTTTTGTATTACTATTATCATTATTATTGGGCTGACGAGTCCCAAGCGGGAAAAAAACACTAATCCTTGATGCTACTACTAGCCCCAATACACCTGTTTTATATCTCCTGTCTATAAAAATATCACCACTATGATAACTTCTTGTCGTAATTATCAGTGTATATAATATATTTAATAACTTCAAATGTAACTAGTTATTTTTGAACCAGTTTTTACGTATATCTAAATCACTTCCATTTTCGATTCTTCATAGCTCAAGTAATACGCAGTCTACACGAACTTTCACGCTTGAAATTGATCTGACAAATGATGATTCAGATTCTTCGTCACTTTGTGAACCAAACAACAGAATAATGGAGACCCCTTTTACTACTGATCATACTGTTCCGACAAATGACATTCAGCAGTCGGATCTTTCATCTGACTTTATTCGCACAAGAGATGAAATTCGATTTGGCAGTAAAGGTCCGTTAGTAGTGATTAGCCCGTTACAGTCTATAAGTATTCCCAATTCTTTTTCTGGCTCAACTGAAGAAAATGATTTAAATTCCCATTTAGATGAATTTAACGCTATACGTAATGAATTGACTATGGATCCTAAGCAGATCTCACGTGCAGACAGTAATTGGCCTCCAGAACTTGTGCAAACTATGTTGAGAACCTCTAATAGTTCCGTTAACAATATAAATCAGTATGATATCAATGGTTCTAAATCTGCTTTCTATCAACGACTATTGGAAGTAACTGCTCATCGAGTGAATCAAACAATGCTTAAGAAAAATTCACATATCCCCTTAAGAGATAATGAAAGATTGTTATATAACAAGGCATTATCTCTTGCTTTTGATGGTGGTGGGTCTAAGAGGAAAGGAAACTCAACTAGACCTAATAATAACAAGGTTAATAGTAGACCAAAAACATCTAAAAAGGTACTAACATCCGATTCTGAAGGTGAGTTTTCATGTTGTGATAATAAATTGTTCAGCCGTGTTTTTATTAATGTAGGGGGTTGTATCGGCAACATCGGTCAAACTGTTCTACCGTCTATGGCCTGTGACGACGGATCCACCCAGCAAGGTAGAAGTCCGCAAGGAACCCCAGCTCTTGAAGCGCTACATATTACCAGACACAGACGACTTACCTCCAGTCCTTTCTAAAGATGGTGGTGACTTCCTGGTTAAGGAACTGACTGAGTTGTTCACAAAGGTCTGGCAATTAGAGAGTGTTCAAACATCACAAAATGAGTCGATAGTTGTCCTTATCTTTAAAAAGGGTTCACACAGTTTCTGCAAAAACTATTGGGGGATAAGTCTACTCCCGATTGAGTCCAAACTATTGGCTTCCGTCATACTTCGTAGATTGTTCAAAACACGAGAAAGATTGACTTGCGAGGAGCGGGCCGGTTTTCTTTCTGATCGAGGATGTACTGATCATATTTTCACCCTCCACCAAGTGTTAGAACACCGTCATACTTATTACAGGCCAATAATCGTCCTGTTTCTTGATAGTAGAGACGCCTTCGATTGATTGGACAGGACTGTTCTCTGGGATTGTCTAACGAAGAAGGGTGTGCCTGTAAAGTTTATTAACATCTTGAAAGCCCTATATACAAACACATCAGGCAGAGTAAGGGTATGCGACAACCTCTCTTCATTGTCCTATTCAGTTGTGGGGTTAGGTAGGATTGCTCAGACTCACCATTCCTCTTCAACTTTTCTGTCGATGACATTCTGGAAACAGCTCTGATGGGTGTAGGGAATTGTGGCGCATATATATGTGGTGCCCCCTTGTACCAATTAGTGTCACTATCTTGAAACATCAAGTTCAATAGCTTGGACATGAACTTCTGTTATAACGCTCGAGTTTTCTCTGTCTTTACGAATGAGACGTTAATTTACTTTAGACGAATATCTGCACTAGATTCCCTCCCAGTGTCTATTCTACAGGACTTTAACACAACTCAAATCAAAAACACGTGATTAGCCTGACTAGAACGTAAATATATTTCACACCAAAAACCGACACAATTCAACACAATCGATCATTAATAATAATAATAAGGACAGAAGAATATATAACTCATTTAACACCTGTCAGACTATCTACTAGTCTGACTAAGCAAACAACTAATCATTATCATTCTCCCCCACACATCACCTACGAATGTTGTCCCAGATAGTTCCATGTATTAAATTGTTTGCCGACGCTGGGACTGGTTGGAAAAAGCCGAGGGATGGTCAGTATATGACAAGGTTGTACAAGACTGGCTTCTGCTAATCCTTCATCACTTCCTGGTCGGAGTTCTAGAGATGGTGCAACTCAGTGACTAGAGACGTTATCAGATATAGCTCAGAATAAAAGCCATTGACGATCCTTCTGTAACTTTATTTTACTTTCTTCGTAAATGTGACTTTTTTAACTGAAAGAATTCTTTCTAGTTGTATTTTTTCTAACTGAACTGTTTCTCCCATTATTATTGTTATTATACGCATTTTACATTCTCTATCTCTTCACAACCTCATTGTAATTGTATGGTGCATATGTATTTGGTGCCCCTTTGTACCAATATTTATGTGTTCAAATAAATAATAAGGGGGGGGTTTGTAAAATTTTTAAAATTTTATGATGTACCTCACAGACTGGCCTCAGTCAGACAACCATTAAAAATCGGAAAGCACTAGACAGTCGTCCCTTCGTAGTATGAGACTCCTCGGCGGAACTGTAAGTCTGCGGCCTCGTCAGCAAGGATGTATGCCGGTGTAATGGTCTAAAGCTTAAGCGCTTTCTAAGAAACCCAGCCACGATCTCTAACGTTGTTGTGCACGCGTGCTTCCAGTGGCGAGTCCCATAATGGGATTAGGCAGCTGTCCAATCCTTACTGGTTCACAGTAGTTGATCAACGTCAGTAAGTTTTTGTTGTCAACCATTAAACCGGTTTTGCCCATTATTTTATTTTTCTTAATTTCTTGACAGCCTTTGATTCAAATAAGTCCATGATCTCATTTTAATGTTTTAATGCTTCATTTTGCGTTTCTTTTGTTTTTCTAATCGTTGGTTTTACTAACTGAAACTTGGACTTTGTTTTGCCAGGTTAACTGTTCTTTCAGTTTATTTACACACTGGTCACAACTTTTATTATTATGTCTAGATAGTCAGATTTATTTTCTTATATATATCATGTTCAACCTCATCATGACTCTGATGTATTGTTGGTAAATAAATTATAATCATTTGTTTCGTGAATTCTTCTACTCTTTAAATAAGTAATATTTATTTGTTTACAATCTGATCGTTTTATTATTTTAATTGAATTTCTATTATTTCATCTTAAATGGATAAAAATGAATGAAAGATTTTATTTGTTTGCAAATATTTTATTTATTAATCTTCAGGTCTACTTTGTATTTCTATTATTATTGTTTTATAGATGAATTCCCAGATAAACCTTGTTCAATAGCAAGTTCTTCGACAATAACTGGTCGTCGCAATGCTCATATAATCAAACAACAACAGGCTGCTGCATTAGCACGCCTAATACAAGAACGATCTACTCGCATCAGAAGTACATCTGAAGCATCCAATGAACAAAATCAACAAGGAATTGAAAATCTCCCTTCAACAAGCAGTAGTAGTAAAAAAGTTAAATCTAAGAAAAATACTGTCAGTACTCAATCCAATAAAAAACGTCCTATTCGTAAGCGACCTCGTCGACTCCGACCTTCAAATATATCTGATGATAGTAACTCTTCTAGTCAATCTTTATATACTTCGGAAATGTCTTGTGTTTCCACTTCAGAACCATCAAATGACTCCTCTTTTGTTAATTCATCACAATGTACTGATGAAGATGATGACTTGTCAATCGACTCATTCTCATCAGATGATCGTTGGTCTCCTTCACATGTTAGCTTCAACAGGAAGCAAAAAACTAAACGCAAACCGAAAGTACGTCGGTGAAATTGTCGTCTTTTACTCAAATCTCGACATTTCCTTCTAAAGATTGTAAACCATTTTTATTATCAGCATTTTTATTTGTTCTGTCAAATTTGTACAGTATAATTGGTTATTTTTTTCACACATACACACACACTTTATCTACCTTCATATACATGTATATTAACTCAAGATCATTTTCAATTACAATTCGAGTTTTTGTGGATTCCCTTTCATTTCGAGATACTGTTATATTTTTCTTTAAGTGTAATAAATATAAAAAATCTTTTTACAGCTTTAAAAACTAACCAGTTCATCATCAATCTTGAAAAAAGTCATTATAAGTAACTGTCTGTAAATGCATCAGTCCATTAAAGCAACACAATACCTCGCGTAAATATTCATGTTGCTCAGGTAGCTACACTACATCAACGGAAGGATGAAAAGTTCCATACCAGAAAAGTTATAGTAATGATAGTGTCTATTATTGTGACTTATGATACTTTATTGAGATTACAGCAGTTTTATTGCTTTGCTACCAAATAGACTTTGTTGACAATCACGAATTGCTTGAACATAGGCAGGATTTAAACTGTTTTGTTCCCTCAAATATTTATCAGTTTAAGTCTCGGTCGGTTCCTAATATTGTAGAAAAGTTGTGGCATCAGATCAGCAAGGAATCGATAATGTTTGCTTCGACATATATTTAGTTGATACTAGTTATTTACAAAGATTTTAATATATCACATTAATATTTGCAAGTTCGTGATGTTGATTTTCTCAGAAAATATTAAGCGTGATTGTTCTTAGTTTTTAAGGTGAACTCTATGTATTCTCCTCAACCTCATTAAGAATTCCCAAGAATATGTCAAACGCTATCCTACCTGTTGAAATTATGTATGTGAATTCGAAACATTTCTTGTATGTTTGGGAATCACCTCATGAGCAATGCTGAAGACAGACTCAGTGTAAGGGGTTAGTGTGGCGATTTAGTTGATAAAATAGTGGATCCTCATCTACTACAGAGATTTGGACATGTATTACACATAAATATTGGTACAAAGGGCACGGAATACGTATGCGCCACACAAGTCACTTGATTTGTGTGTGGGCTATGATACTACCCGGGTGCCCAAACCGAAGTAGGTGGTCTCCTTAGGGGCTTCACCCAGAGCATCTGACATAAAAATCCCACATCGCCACGCGTATATAGCCTCTGCCAGGGAAGTCCTACTCATTGCCTTCTCGTGGCGGGGGTATTGTTTACGAAAGTGAGAGGACGAAAAGCGAATGTCCGGTGCTTTAACCGGGTTGGTGGACATGTAGAGTCCACCTGGGGGAGTCAGAAAATCCTGATTCCAAACCAATGGTGCACATGGGCTCCAGTATTTTGAAGGAATAAATGGCATATGAAGCAATTGTTGGTCACCGACTACCATGGGGCTGCATCTTCTAACGTTGGTCCACTACCTTGTGGATTAGAATTTTGTGTCAAATGCTCGGAGTGTGGCCCCCTAAGAAAACAATATGCTTCGGCCTGGGCAGTATTACAGCCTTCACATATATCAAATGAGATTTGTGTGGCGCATATGTATTTGGTGCCTCCTTGTACCAATATCTATGTGCTAAAATAAATAAATGAAGTCATATGCCATTTGTTCCTTCATGACTGAATCCCATGTTCAGCACTGTTTTGGAATCAGGGTTTTCCAACTTCCCTAGGTGAACTCCAGTGTTCGTCAACCCAGTTAAAGCGCCAGACATTCGCTTTTCTTCCTCTCAGTTTCGTAAACAACACCCCCCCCACGAGAAGTCAATGAGTAGGACTTCCATGGCAGAGGCTATATACACGTGGCCATGTGAGAGTATTTCGAGAGGGAGAGCTGAATCTCCCCACTCTCGGCCGTACCAGGGCATTTGGTTGCGGTCATGAATTACTTTCCCCCCAAAACTTCGTAGTTTAACGGGCGGTGTTCGTTTATGTAGTAGGCTGGAAGAAATCTGTAAGCTCGACCAAATCAAGCTGTGACATCAATGCGTAAAGTTCATTAACTGTTATACTGAACCGTGTTGTCAGATGAAGCTCACCTAATTGGTGTCACGACGATCGTAACCGATAGTTGGAAACGTTGAGTGACATGGCTTAAGATATTTCTCATTGGTGCAGATGCACCCATTCAGCATCTTCCCTTAGATATCCAGTTGTGAATCATCCTATAATTACTTTATCCCTTCAATTCATTCTTTCTTCTCTAATGCTAATTTCTGTATACATGATCTGTTCTAATACCACCGATACTATTACTACTATTATTGTACTATCACTCGAGAATTTGTTTTGATACTTTCACCATACTGTGGTGACATTGTGTGACAACGTCAGCCAACGGACACCTATTATCTACGTTTAGTTATGACCTAGCTAACTGACTGGTCCTTCATTAATTTGTTGTGACTTGCAAGAATATTGTTGTGACTATTTGTTACATCTTCGCACAGCTCTCTACTTACCACTTCATAACTGTACAAATACTAGTATTGCTAGGCCTGATGTATTAGGCATAACTGCGTTTGAGCATTCCTTAATACCACAAAATAGATCCACAACAAATACAACCATTGATTTAAAGCTGTATCAAAATAACCTTAAATCATGTCTGATTTTTTAATCTTGTCAATGAGAAAATTTGAATGTTGGAGATGTACGATCGTCAAAAATAAATCGTTATTGATTTTTGTGAAATTCTGTTTTATTCAATGTGAACTCCGGTCATTGACTTTCAATACATTTTTAGTATGAATTTTGTTCATTTACAAATACTCAAATCATAGACTTCAATTATTTTAATTGAAATAGAACCAGTTAATTTAAATATGTTTTTAATTGTACTGTGTTTGTTATATTAAAAAGCTTCCATCAGTAGAATGGTAGTTTTACTCTAGTTATTCGAACAGAAAAGAAAATAATGAAAATGGTATCATTAACTGTACTGAAGTTGTTGAATATTAGCATTGTGCATAAATGTATCTCTGAAATGCACGGTATTTGATATAAGTTGGTCAACAACTACATGCATGTATACGACGTAACAAGTTGACTACATTAGCTTAGAGTGAAATAAATTCTTGAGTTGAGTATTTGGTTCTTCCTGGTAAACTTAATTTCCATATTAAGTATCTGTTAAATGTCTTACTCATATTTCACCATATTTTAGTTAATAAGCTTTCTGAAAGTTGATTTCCATGGGTCACTTTAATCCTGTTGGTTTCTTATATGAATTACCTCTTTTCTAAATTGTAGCCCTTTTAGGTTTAGTCTCAAGTTAGTTGTAGTTTATTTATCGAGTGTGCTTTGCACTCATCTTTTGCGTCTTTAAGAGATGGTATTACCACTCGGATATCCAAAATAAAGTTGACGGAGTTCGAGTCCGCAACTCGTTGGTTACAGGTCAAGTTATTTAATTATTAAGTAACCTTTGCACAGTTTTAAGAAAACAACACTCGAATATACACTATTTTTGTGCTTTTTAAGGTTATTGCCGTAAAAATAGCTTCATACTACGCTCTTCAAAGCCTGATTATTAGTACTGTAAGGGTTTACTCTCACCTGAAAATGAATATGAAGTCATTGTATTAACCCGTACTTACACTTACCATCTGTGACCACTGAAAACAATTAGATTTCGATGAAATACTTCAACAACACAGAAATAAATAAGTTTCAGTACGATAGATATCCTGTTTACTTGTTATCAATTATAGGTAACATTGTTATTTCATATTTTGTAAAGTTAAAATGGACAATGAATTTCTTTATATTACAATTCCTAGTTTTAATTGCAGGATATATAGTAATGATTACGCGGAACTAAGCCTTTCCACATTCGAAAGCTTTTGATCATTTTCTCATCAAAGCTTGTCATAATGTATTTTATATTTTATAAATATGGCACTCTGTAGTCTGCCTCAAAGCTACATGATTTCTTAAGACTGAAGTAACCTCCAATAAAATTGTAACGAGGAAAATAAGCTTATATAGTTTTCAGTAGCATTTTTGATTACAATGCATATGGGTGAAATTTTCGCCTACTTGGAAAGTATGAACCTATTTAGAAAAATCGTTGGTCACATTCTGGATTATTAATGACCATATGGAATCAACCAACGTTTTTAAAGTTGAAAGAATATCTGTCAGAAGTATTAAAGAGGTTTGGAACGTTTCTAATTGTAGTTTGTGAATCTCACGTAAAACCAAACTCTGGATGTAATATGGTAGCTGGAAGTACTCGACAGGAAACCCTTGAACTAGATTTTGCGCTATTTGAATCTTATCGGCAGTGTTCCTGTAGTCAATATAAAAGTTGCATTTCATTAAAGGAAGTTTGGATTTTCACAGCTCAAACAACGTTACGTTCCTCCTAGAAGTAGACCACATAAACATCTTTCACGTAACTTAATTACGTACGTTGATTCTTTAATGGAATATGAATATGTTAGATGTAACTATCAATATAGTTTGTCAACATACATTAAGTTTTTAATGGCAACAATTATTATTGCCTGCCGAAACACACTTATTTATAGCTTAAAAATAAACTCTACTAACAAAATAGTTCCGATTCCAGTATATTATAACCAATACCTAGGAACATCCTCCATAAACTGACAACGTATCAATAAAAGCGAATTAAAGAATATGAAATGGTATCTCTAAAAAGCAACTTTACAGTTGACAGATTTTGTATTTATTATAAAACTGGGCACAATGAGCCTCCAGGTTTATCAGAAAATATATTTACTCAAATTTAGGGGGAGCGGTTTCGCAGATCATTTATTTTATTTATTAAAACACATCAACATTGGTACAAGGTGGCACCAAATACATATGCGACATATAAATCATTCGATTTGCGTAAGGGCTAGGATACTGCCCAGGTGCCCAAACCGAAGTAGGCCACACCCTGAAACTCTGACCTAAAGATCAAATCCACTAGGCAATGGAGCAACGTTAGAAGATGCAGCCCCATGATAGCCGGTGACCAACGACCGGTTCTTACGCCATTTGCTTCCTTAGGATCCTGGAGCGTATGTTTACCATTGTTTTGGAATCAGGATTTTCCGACTCCCCTAGGTGGACACTACGTGTTCGCCAACCCAGTTAAAGCGCCGGACATTCGCTTTTCGTCCTCACAATTTCGTAAACAACACTCTTTCTACGAGAAGACAGTGAGTTGGACTTCCCTGACAGTGGCTAAATAAGCGTGGCCGTGTGAGAGAATTTGGAGATTGAGAGTTGACT